TCTCTCTCTCTCTCTGTCTCTCTCTCTTTCTTTCTCTCTTTCGTTCGCACCCAGCATTCGCACAGTGGATGGTGGAAGTGGTGAGGGCAGTGATTGCTCTCTCGTTCCCCCTGTTTCTTCCTCTTTCTCACTTTTTCCTCCTCCCATTGCGCGCGCAGCGCAGAGGAGGACGTCGGAGTTTACTGCCTCTCTCTCTCTCTCTTCTCCTTTTTGTCCTTGCTCCCTGTCTCTCTCTCTCTCTCTCATTCCTTCTCGCCGCGCGCGCAGCGCAGAGAACGAACCGAGAAGGGGGAGTGGCTGCTTTCTTCTGCGGGGGAGAAGTGGCTGCTTTCTCCCAGCTTTACATTCCCGCACGCTTGCGCAACGCAGGGTGCGCAACACGGGGGGGGGGCGGGGAGCGGTTGCCCTCGCGCCCTCAACGCGCGCGCGGGGCTGGGGTGGGGATGGGCAAGGGGGGACGGTTGCTCTCTTTCTATCTCGTTTTTTTCTCTTTTTCGTTCTCTTTCCCGTTCTCGCTATATCTCTCTCTCTATATATATATCTATATATAATTGTTTTTTCCCCCCCCCCCCCTCTCTCTCTTTTTCATATACTCTTTCTTTCCCTATCTCTTTCCCCCCACTCCTTTTTTCATTTTTCCTTCTACGAAACTATGTGCTTGCTACATACATCCGTTCACACGCACACATATATATATATATATATATATATATATATTATATATATGCATATACGTATATGCATGTTTCGACGTGCCCCTGTGCCTGTAAATATGTGTAAGAGCATGCCAGGTGTATACATACATATATATATATACATATATATATATATACATGCGAACTCAGTTCAATCGACACATCGGCCATGCTGTATATACTTGTAAGCATTTGCAAGGTACTTATGCGCAATGGTTTCGTTCACCAGTGCCGTTTCGATTGTTCCATGTATGTATCAAGCTATATTCCACTGTATCCCTTCCACCCGTCTACTTCTAGACCTTGCCTATATTTGCATCCACCAATGCGCAGAGGTATATACATACATATATATATATACATATTGATATGTATATACATGTGTGTATACCCTTCAGATATGTATCTGCATGTTCCCCGATTCGGCTTGCCTACGGGGTTCTTACTTGGTTCAAGGTTGGTGCCTCGTATTCTTACATTGCCCGGTGCCCGGGGTGTTCGTGGGTTCCCTGTGTTCCGCGGATTCCCTGCCCCCGGTGCCAAGCAATGCCAAGCAATGCCAAGCAATTCTAAGAAATGCTCAGCAATGCCAAGCAATGCCAAGCAATGTTTAGCAGCGCCGAGCAATGCCAAGCAATGTCAGGCAATGCCAAGCAATGCCCAGCAATGCCATGCATTGCCAAGCAATACCAAGCAAGGCCAAGCAAGGCCAAGCGATGCCAAGCAATGCCAAGCAATGCCATGCAATGCCAAGCAAGGCCAAGCAATGTTTAGCAGCGCCGAGCAATGCCAAGCAATGCCCAGCAATGCCAAGCAATGCCAAGCAATGCCATGCAATGCCAAGCAAGGCCAAGCAAGGCCAAGCAATGCCAAGCAATGCCAAGCAATGCCATGCATTGCCAAGCAATACCAAGCAAGGCCAAGCAACGCCAAGCAACGCCAAGCAATACCAAGCAATGCCACGCAATGCCAAGCGATGCCAAGCGATGCCAAGCAATGCCAAGGTATGCCAAGCAATGCCAGGCAATGCCAAGCAATGCCAAGCAGTGCCAAGCAATGCCAAGTAATGTCTAACTAAGCCAAGCAATGCCAAGCAATGCGAAGCAGTGCCAAGCAATGCCAACCAATGCCAAGCAATGCCAAACACAATGCCAAGCAATGCCAAACACAATGCCAAGCAATCCCCAGCAATGCCCATCAGTGCCAAGCAATGCCAAGCAATGCCAAGCAATGCCAAGCAATGCCATGCATTGCCAAGCAAGGCCAAGCAATGCCAAGCAATGCCAAACACTACCAAGCAATGCCAAGCAATGCCTCGAACTGCGCCCATGCAATAGGACGATTTGCCCTACTTGGGGTCGCGCCTGTTTCTTAGACTCATATACTATATACCAACCAGTAGGTATGAGCACCCGCCTGCTTGAGTATCTGTGAGTCAGTATGTTAGTCAGCGTGGACCCCGAGTAGTATCTTATGGCCTTTGGCCCATTCCGCCGCCGTGTCTGGGTTGTGAGTCAGAGTTCTCAGGGATGCTTGTAAAGGAGTCTCTTCGGAGCGCTCTCGTGGGCCTCTTGGGGGCAGTTTTGGGGCCTCTTGAAGCCTCTTGGGCGCCTCTCGGGAGCCTTTTGGGGGCCTCTTGGGGCTCCTGGGGGCCCCATCGGGGCCGAGGGCTCGAAATGTCCGTTCGGGTTCCCCCTCTGGGCCTGCTTTTGGAGCCGTCGTTGGGCCCTCTTGGGCCGTCTTGGGCGCCTCTTGGGCCGTATTGTGGCCCTCTTGGGCCATCTTGGAGCTGCCTTGGGGGTCTCTGGGGCCGTCTTGCGGCGATCTTGAGGGCTTCTCTGGCCGTCTTCGACGCCATGAAAGCCGACGAGGCGAACATGCAAAACATGTGCGTTTTTCGCAGGAAATGGAGTGATTCATGCTTCTGGGGGCGCTCTTTGGGCCTCCTCTTGGAACTTTTTGGAGACGTTTTGGGGGCCTCTTGGGCTGTGTTGAGGCCATTCTGGGCGGCTCGGAGGCTTCTTGGACTGTCCTGTGGGGCTTCTCGGGGCCCTCTTCCCCCGTTTGGGGGCCCCGTTGGGCGGAGCTGCCCTCCCAGAGGCCCCCGCAACACACCCCGAGGAGCGCCCGGAGAGCGCCCCGCAGCGCCTGGGGAACCGGGGGTCCGGGCCCTCAAGAACCGGCAGAGTTCCCCTGCCTCGCAGGGCTGCAAGAGCCTTGGGGCACTCCACCACGTGCTGAAGGCACGGTGGTGGACAGGTGGAGCAATCTACTCGGTGTAGCCGACGTGGTGCAGTCTTGGTTGTGCAAGGTCTGCTGTGCACTCGATGTGGTGTAATAGGCGCTGTGCAGTATATGCGGTGCGCAAACTATGTTGTGCAATCCATGTGGTGCAATCGATGTGGTGCAATCTATGGTGTTCAGTCTATGTGGTGTATCCCATGTTGTGCAATGCATGTGGTACAATACATGCGGTGCAACCTATATGGTCGAATCTGCGTTGTGCAATGTGTGTTGTGCAATCTATGTGATGCAACCTACGCTGTGCAGTATATGTTGTGCTGTTGTGGTGCACCTCGTGTGGATGTGCAATTTATGTGGTGCAATCTGTGTAATGCAACCTGTGTTGTGAAATCTCTGTGGTGGAATCTATGTCGTTGGCGAGCAGACAGCGCGCCGCAGGCGCGATGTTTCCGTGCAGCCTACGTGGTGCAATCCCACGGCGGCGATGGGTGGCGACGGGGCGGCGACGAGGCGGCGACGGCGGCCACGTAGCCGCAAGACCGGAGGCACGGTCCACACGACGGGCGGCGACGAGGCGGCGACGGGGCGGTGACGGCGGTCACGTAGCCGCCAGACCGACGGCAAGGCCCATGCCCATACGACATAAGTACGAGACCCTAAGAGTTCGGGGACATCCACTCATAGATCTGTCATCTCGGTGCACATGCCCGCATCTGTATGCATGCTTGTATGTAAGTAGATCTGTCTATATATGTGTACAGCTCTATATGTGAGCATACCCGTGTGTATATATATATGTATGTATATCATCGCCCCTTCCTGTTTATTGGTAAGCACATATACCGATATCATGTATAATCCTATCCATTTATTGGCCAATCCGCCCATACGTCTGTTCATCCATGTTTGTATTTCTTTCGGTTCATACGTTTGCATAGTGGTCCACCTATTTGTTTGTTTATACATCAATATAGTAATCCATCCATCCATCTATATGTTCGGATACCATTGTGCCACTATCTATATGTATGTATGTATGGGCATCTATATGTGTATATAGGCATCTGTTTTTGTAACCAGCGCAATTCTAAAACAATTTACGTGCAAGTCGTCCGCGTAAGGGATTTCTAATGAACATCGTGCGCGACGGATATCAACATGTAAGCCATTCTTGAAGGCGTCTTATTGTATTGTCACGCTGGCGGATTTCATTCGTAGCCCAATTCGCCCATGACAGGAATTCGACAGCCCCCCCCCTGAAAAAAGGATGCAAGTTGCGAGCCGCGCAAGTTGATCCAATCTGTAAACTGACCGCATACGGAGTTATGTTGCACAGCCACGCGAATCAACGTTGGAAATTACACAAGAGGAGTCATCTTGTAAATCACAAATCATTTTGTAAAGCCACACGCGCGGATTTTATTAGCCATCGCGCAATAGGAATCAATGTGTAGATTGTCCACACAAGGAGTCCCATCATACAGTTTCGCGTGATATATCATTTGCAATCCGCACAGGGACAATCAATCAATTGTACAGTGGCCACAAATGGATTCTTCTGGTAACACCGCGTAAGAAGGATTTGTTGAAATCTACTCAGTGAGGCCGATTGGCGCATCCCTGGCAAGGCTGGGGATGCCAGGGATGGCCCAGCCTGGATCGGTGCAAGCGGGCAGTCAGCCCCCCCCCCTCCCCTTAGGTGGAAGGGATGGCGGACACGCAGATGATAAAGGCGTCCGGCCCGCGAGCGGGGTGGGCGGGCCGCGTCATAAAGAAGAGGGGGTAGCGCGATGATGATGAGACTGATGATGATGATGATGATGATGATGATGATGATGATGCTGATGCTGATGCTGATGCTGATGATGATGATGATGGTGGTGGTGGTGGTGGTGATGGTGATGATGGTGATGATGATGGTATGATGGTGGTGACGGCGACGTGATGGTGATGTTGATGATGATAATGGTGATGATGCTGATGCTGATGCTGGTGATGCTGACGATGCTGCTGCTGCCTGCTGATGCTGATGCTGATGCTGATGATGATGATGCTGATGGAAATGATGATGATGATGATGATGATGATGATGATGATGATGATGATGATGATGATGATGATGATGATGATGTGATGATGATGATGATGATGATGATGATGATGATGATGATGGTGGTGATGATGATGATGATGATGATGATGATGATGATGATGATGATTGTGGCATGCTGCAGATCAAACTGATGATAGCCGGGGGCGATGATGCTGGTGACGATGATGATTGTGCCGATGTCGATTGCGATGAAGATATTGGTGCTGCGGATGGCGATGATGCTGAAGATGATGGTGACTGATGATGACGCTGCTGACGATGAACATGATGACGGCGACGACGACGAGGGTGGTGTGGTTGTGGTAGTAGTGGTGGTACTCATGATGGTCATGATGGAGGTTGTGACGATGCTGTGTGCGGAGGCGATGACTTCGATGGTGCGGCTGGTGATGGTGATGATGCTGGTGACTGTGATCGTGATGATGCTGATTCTGATGGTGCTCATGGTGACTGTGGTGACGGTGGTTGTGATGGCGATGATGATGGTGATGACAAGGGTAATGACGACGACCACGGCGGCGACGTAAACAAAGACGATGAATGTCTCGATGATGATTTGTGCTGTTGGTGATGGTGAAGTTTCGGCGTTGACAATCATGATTGTGATGATGCAGTTTGTGGTGATTGTGATCATGCTGACGATGGTGTTGACGAGAGTGGTGAGGATGGTGATGCTGATGATGATGATGATGACGGTGATGATGATTCTGATGCTGATGCTGATGTTTATGATCATGATGCCGATGCTGGTGATGATGACAATGCTGTTGCTAATGATGATGATGGCATTGACGATGATGACGATGCTGTTCATGACGATGATGATGCTGCTGATGATGATGATGATGATGATGATAATGGTGAGCAGCAGCAGGATCGGCAAGACAACCTATACGGCTGCGTTGTCCTCCCCTCCCTCTCGACACCAATCATTCGTGCCGAGAGCATGCAACATCCAGTCCCAGGAACACATGGCGTCCCATGCTGGCGCTTGCATCAGGGACTCTTCGGCCGCACAGCGTCAGTTGTCCAAATGGCGTGTGCCCTTAGTGTGCATTGTCCATCTCACGGCTACAGGCATTGACCTGCTGTCCTTACGATGGCGACGGCGATGGGGATGGCGATGATGATGGTGGTGATGATGCTGGTGATGAAGGTTATTGCGGTGATGGTGATGATTTTGATGTCAATGATGAGGTTGAGGCGGATAACGATGATGTTGACGTTGGTGGTACAGAATATGGTAATCCTGTTGTTGATAGCATGGCGACGCGACGCTTAATGCTACTATTGATAAGGATAACGGTGACGATGATGGTGATGCTGGTGATGGTTATGATGATGGTGAGGATGCTTATGATGATGACGAGGCTGGTAATCTATAGGAGGATGATTACGATGCTGACGATTCTGCTGGCGATGGTAGTACTGATGACGATAAGGTGGAGGAGCAGGGGGAAGCTGATGATGATGATGACCATGATGTTGATGTTGATGTTGATAATGATGATGCTGATGATGATGATGAACATGATGACTGATGCTGATGCTGATGCTGATGATGATGCTGATGCTGATGCTGAGGATGATGATGATGAGGATGATGAGGATGAGTATTATGATGATGATGATGATGATGATGATGATGATGATGATGATGATGATGATGATGATGATGATGATGATGCTGATGATACTGATGATGATGCTGCTGATGCTGATGCTGATGCTGATGCTGCTGCTGCTGCTGCTGCTGATGATGATGATGATGATGATGATGATGATGATGATGATGATGATGATGATGATGATGATGATGATGGTGTTGATGATGATCAGGAGGAGGATCAGCAGGAGGAGGAGTTGACGAAACCATTGACGGTGCAAACGTGGGTGCTTGAGGCCTCAAGTGCAATCAGTCCTCTCAGAGAGGGGCGCCGCGGGGAGGAGGCGCAAGGGGCAGGGGTGGTCGGAGTGCCAGAGTGCATGATTTGGTGAGGGTCCGAGCGAGCACGAGCGGGATCCGAACCCTACCCTCGGATCCACGATTCTCAGGCAACCCGGTGGGCCGTGGGGGCGGCTTCGAGGTTCGAGGAACGCGTGGCGAAGTCCGAGGCCTGCCCCCGCCTCCTGTCGATTCAGTAGAATCGGTGGCTGGTGGGGGTTCCCACCTGGAGGGAGGAGGAGGCGGAGGAGGAGGAGGAGGAGGAGGAGGATGAGGAGGAGGAGGCGGAGGAGGAGGAGGCGGAGGAGGAGGAGGAGGGGGAGGAGGAGGAGGGGAGGAGGGAGGAGGGAGGAGGAGGAGGAGGGAGGAGGAGGAGGGGGAGGGAGGAGGAGGAGGAGGAGGAGGAGGAGGAGGAGGAGGAGGAGGAGGAGGAGGAGGAGGAGGAGGAGGAGGAGGAGGAGGAGGGAGGAGGAGGCGGGAGGCGGGAGGCGGGAGGCGGAGGGGAGGCGAAGGCGGAGGCGGCGCGGGCCGCGCCCGGCCGGCTGGCGAGGTGGCGCTGGCCTTCAGCAAGGTCCCCGCGTGCAAGGATGCGCGGCGGGCCCCGAAACGCCCTCCCCTTTGGCCCTCGCCGCGCCCTCCCCCGTGCCGGTCGTGGTCTGTGGCGCCTCGCGGCGCGGCGCCGCCCGGCACGTGGGTGGGGGCGGACGTGCTTCCGCGTGTCCGTCGGGGTCGGACGACGACGACGACGACGACGACGACGACGACGACGACGACGACGACGACGACGACGGCGACGACGACTGAACGGTCTGGATTCCAGGGCGCGATCCCGCTGATATGCCGTCGCACGCATACGCTCTGCGCGGGCTTCCGCGAAAGAACGCCCCGCATCCGCGGGGTTGCGGCTCAGGAGGCCCGGCCCGCGAGGCTGCCGACACGGATCGGTTTTTCGCCCGCGAGTGTGGGTGGACGGGCTTCCATGTTTCCATTCGGGTCGGATGACACATGGGGGGGGGAAGGGGTTCTGGCCATCAGGCGCGGGAGGACCCTGATCGATGAAAGTGAAAATGATGTTTTTCAACGCGCTTATTCTGGCCCCCGGGGAGTCGCCGAACCCCGGACTAGCCTCGCTCTGGCTGAGCGCCTTGGGCCTGTACAGTTTCGGACTCGCTCACTCCCGCATTTGCGGAGAAAGAGAGCCGCCACCATCCTACCCCATCCAACCTCCATACATTACAACTCGCACGTGAAAACGTCCAGCTCAGCTCCGTCGTAAAAACGATTCGAACTCACAAGGCGGTGAATTAGATGCCTGCCAGACAGCCTGAAGCTCAGCCTGACATGAGGGCACATCGTCTATTCTTGGCTGGATCGAAGCACAGTGCTGAATGGTGCAGTCTCCCACTCAGCAGAATAGGGGAGGACCAACAAGGATGCTTTCGGTTGGCCGGGTCTGCTCGGGAAGGCCCGTCGCCTTTTGGCCGAGCTCGGAGCAGGCAGGCTTGTGGAGTGCAGCGATCTAGCAAACTCGGCACGGGAGCGGCCTCGGAACCTTGGTGCTTGAGCCAATGAAAAAGGAGGGAAGGGAGCGGGAGCTAACTCGGCCACGAGTAGTTTCGCAATCTTCTCTCGGTTGCAAAGTCTGAATATTCTGCGAACCATGCTGGCAGGCCACGCGAGGTGGCAAGAGATCGGGTGGGCACTACCAGCATTGAGTGGCATGTACAAGCTAGCTTTTCTCTCATGGACCACGTGGTCCAATTTCCCACACTGCTGCCAGAGCACCCCCTCAAATAACTCTACATCAAGCATGATTACGCTGTATTGTGTGATGTTTTCTTTTTTGAGCTTGAAAAATTTGCTTCTATCCCGGAGGGCCGTCATGAGATCGTCGACCTGCTCATCGGACCTCGCGCCCCGGAGGATCACCAAGATGTCATCTTTGAACCTGCCCCACTACTTGATCTTATGGAGGTCGCGGAACTCCACGCTCAAGGCAGTATCTGTCTCAACCATGTGATGAAAACTTGCATCGCTGATTCCCCCCGAACTTTGAAGCCCCATACCCGTCCCCACTTCGACCGACCAGAGCTTCCCAGGGATGCCGTCGACGGAGATGATCTGGTTAGCAAGGGTCGCGGATACTAGGTGCTTGTAGGCATCACGCCGGGGGCCTGCCCCTACAGCCAAGGAGCTGTAATGTTGGAACTCAACATGTTTACCGGACATGTAATAATGTTTAATGTCGATCTTTAAAAAGTGTCGTCTTTTTCAACATGCAGCTCCCTCAACTGATCCAGGAGCTCGGCACTGTCGCGTAAAATGTGCCGTTGCCCCCGAAGACTGGACTGCAGCAGAGATGATATCCATCCCATGGCTTCTTTCATCGGGCTCCCAGTCGAACCGTGAATCGCTCTGAAAGTTACCTCCCCGGGGTCCTTGTGGCTTTTGATGGTCATGTTTAACCTGGAGATCATCCCCTTGATGCCCCCAGAGCCCCATGACAGAAAAGCCGGTACCATGCGATGGTCGCCCGGCGCCTCGGCAGCCAACACCACACTGTTTTTGAAATTCTCGAAGTAGTCCGTCTCTGCTTCGAACGTGCAGGCAGTAGGCTTATACTGAGGTTATTGCAATAGACGAACTTTCTCGAGGATGATGGTAGCCTTATCCACCAAACATACCCCACCATCCTTGTCAGTAGGGATGGCCCCCAAACGCCCACGTTTGAGCATGTCAAAAGCGCACGCATGCAACCCACAATAATTGCTAAGGCGTCGCTGGTGTTGGAACCAACGGCCTCGGGCAATCAAACAAGCGTCCCACACGCCCTGAGTAACGCTAGAAATGAATTGCTGCTGCACCGCGCTCAGAGGGCCTGGACAATCTGGGGTGATGTTTGGTCGTTTTCGGCATGCGAACCTTCGCTCCACGGGTTAAAAACACGCCCTGTTCGTACGGCTGTCGTTACTAATAAGGCGCCTGAAGAAAAAATCTCCACGCAACTTTTCTTCACAGCATATCCCTTTGTATCTTCACTGTACTCCTCTCTGTACTTTCCGCAATACTTCTCTTATCCCTTTTCTTTATTTATCCTTTTATCACTTGTCTTAGCTTAGTTTCTTCCCCGCTTTGTTTGATCGTTCCTTATATGCTGTCCCACTTTGACATCTTTATTACTTTTCTTTTTATTTTTGTGATTACATTCTTCCTTGTACTTTTTTTTTCAGCTCTGTCCTCTTCCTCTTATACTTCCTCCCATATTTCACAACAGTTAGCCATATGTTGTGATAAGATCGTAAGTCAGGCCCATCGCACTGCTACGAAAAAAAGTGTATCCGCGTGGTTTGCGGTGATAGCTTCCAAGCAAGAATTGAATTGGCCAGGGAACCTCTCCGTGTTCTGGTCGGTACACAGAGCGCTCATCTGAATTGAATACGTACAGACGTGGCTGCACATCATGCATACGAAGGAGATTCGCAAAGTCTGCGAGTGGAAGATCGTCGATCGTCTTCCAAAAGGTGCGGGTGCATTTCTCGATCATTGGTACCTCCGATTCTTTCCTCGCTCTTTCCCACCTTTTGACTCTGGCTTTCCTCCTTTGGAATCTTTGCCCTTCGTCTTGCCCTTGCCGTCCTTGCCCTTGCCTTCCTTGGAATCTTTGCCCTTCGTCTTGCCCTTGCCGTCCTTGCCCTTGCCTTCCTTGCCTTTGCTTTTGCTTTTGCCCTTGCCTTTTGGGGTGGTCGTCGAAGATGGTGAAGCCGCCTTTCCTTTGCCATCCTTTGCTTTGCCTTTGCCATCCTTGGTTTTGCCAGCCCCCTTCCCCTTCGGAGTAGAGGACTGGCTCCGATCCTTTTTTTGCCAAACTCCTTTCCACGTCATCTTCCGTAGCAGTAGACAGAGTTCCCGCTGCATACCAGTTCACTTGATCAACCTTCACGCCTGCCTTCCTTTCCAGCTCGTCGATATTCCTGAAGCCTGATGCGTCAGTACCCTTGCCGCGTTCACGGCCTTTCATCTGCTCCTTGAACATCTTCCCAACGGTGTAAGAAACATACTCTGCTGGACTGAAGCTGGTAAGTTCCTTGATGAGCTTAGTCTTCGCTTCATTCTTCTCTTGCTTCATGGCTTCGGGCACATGGCCTCGGGCACAACGTACTCCCCAAAGAACTCGTCGACTAAATTCCTGATGTCACGATGTTCACTGTTGCCTCCAACTGCTGCTCCATCTTCTGCTGCACCTCCTCCGTCACGTTGCTCATCGGCTTGACGAGCTGGGGAGCGGCTCCGCTCCGCCAGGGCCGGATGGCCTGCGGCCGGTGGCAGCAGTGGTCGTCTACCTCCGCCTCTGCCATTGCCAAGCTGCGCTGCCTGGCCATGGGAGCCTGCCGGAAGGCCCGGCTCTTGCGAAGGTGGCGCGTCGCCCATCACAGAGAAATGTGTAAGTGTCAGAACGATGAACGTGAAAATGATGTTTTTCAACGCGCTTCTTCTGGCCCCCGGGGAGTCGCGGAACCCCCGGACTAGCCTCGCTCTGGCTGAGCGCCTTGGGCCTGTACAGTTTCGGACTCGCTCACTCCCGCATTTGTGGAGAAAGAGAGAGAGAGAGAGAGAGAGGTCCCCGCGTGCAAGGAAGCGCGGCGGGCCCCGGAACGCCCTCCCCTTTGGCCCTCGCCGCGCCCTCCCCCGTGCCGGTCGTGGTCTGTGGCGCCTCGCGGCGCGGCGCCGCCCGGCACGTGGGTGGGGGCGGACGTGCTTCCGCGTGTCCGTCGGGGTCGGACGACGACGACGACGACGACGACGACGACGACGACGACGACGACGACGACGACGACGACGACGACGACGACGACGACGACGACGACGACGACGACGACGACGGACGACGACGACGACGACGACGACAGAACGACGACGACGACGACGACGACGACGACGACGGAGACGACGACGACGACGACCGACGACGACGACGACGACGACGACGACGACGACGACGGACGACGACGCGACGACGACGACGACGACGACGACGACGACGACGACGAAACGGTCTGGATTCCAGGGCGCGATCCCGCGGATATGCCGTCGCACGCATACGCTCTGCGCGGGCTTCCGCGAAAGAACGCCCCGCATCCGCGGGGTTGCGGCTCAGGAGGCCCGGCCCGCGAGGCTGCCGACACGGATCGGTTTTTCGCCCGCGAGTGTGGGCGGACGGGCTTCCATGTTTCCATTCGGGTCGGATGACACATGGGGGGGGGCAGGGGTTCTGGCCATCAGGCGCGGGAGGACTCTGATCGATGAAAGTGAAAATGATGTTTTTCAACGCGCTTATTCTGGCCCCCGGGGAGTCGCCGAACCCCGGACTAGCCTCGCTCTGGCTGAGCGCCTTGGGCCTGTACAGTTTCGGACTCGCTCACTCCCGCATTTGCGGAGAAAGAGAGCCGCCACCATCCTACCCCATCCAACCTCCATACATTACAAATCGCACGTGAAAACGTCCAGCTCAGCTCCGTCGTAAAAACGATTCGAACTCACAAGGCGGTGAATTAGATGCCTGCCAGACAGCCTGAAGCTCAGCCTGACATG